CAGAGGATGACTCAAGTGCCTAGATCCCTGCCACCCAATGGGAAACCTGGATGGAGTCCGGGCTCCTGGCTTTTGCCTGACCCAGTCCTGTCTCTTGTATCTGGGTACTGAAATATTGGATGCAAAATCTCTCTCTCTCTGTTGTTGTTTCAAGTAGATGAAAATAAATAAATATTTTAAAAATATTATTAAAAAGGAATACTTCTATCACTTCATATCTTAGAAGACAGGTTGGCGGGGCTGGCACCATGGCATGGCAGGTAAAGCTGCCGCCTGTCATGCCAGCATCCCATATGGGCTTCATTTCTGATCCAGCCCTCTGCTATGGCCTGGGAAAGCAGTAGAATATGGCTCAAGTCCTTGGGCCCCTGCACCCACGTGGGAAACCTGGAATAAGCTTCAGGTTCCCGGCTTCAGATCAGCCCAGCTCCAGCAGTTGCATCCACTTGGGAAGTGAACCAGTGGATGGAAGACCTCTCTTTTTCTCTCTGCCTTGCCCCTCCCTTCAAATAAATAAATAAATCTTTCTTAAAAAAAGAAAACAGGTTAGCAACTGGTCCTCTTCATCTGCTATTCCAAGGGAGATTCATTTTTTTAAATATTTATTTATTCATTCAAAAGGCAGAGCGGCAGAGACAGAGAGGGACGGGGAGGGGAGGAGAGGGGAGAGAAATCAAGATCTTTCATCTGCTAGTTTACTCCTTAAATGGCCACAACAGCCAGGGAAGGCCAGGACAAAGCCAGGAGCCCGGAACTCCAACTGGGTCTCCCACATGGATGGCAGGGCCATTATCTGCTGCCTTCCCAGGTGCATTAGCAGGAAGGTGGATCTGATGTGGAGCAGCCAGGACTTAACACAGTGCTCTAATATGGGATGTGGGTGTCTCAAATGGTGGCTTAACTGCTGTGCTATAACGCCAGCTATAGGGTTCCAGTGTTAAAGCAGTATAGTGCAGGAAATAGACATCAACACAGAAGTTAGGAGTTTTGCTCACTTCACCAAAGAATCTACTTTAAAATTCCTCTAAATCAAAAGTTATTGTACTTTAAATCTAACAGTGTTTATAAAATTGACTTTATCCAACAGTAAAAGAATGAAGCAAGAGTAATATTTCAATTCTATTGTGTTATCTTTTTTCTCACAGTCTTTGAAATGAGAGGTGAAAGGAGGAAGGAGAAGGAAGAAGGAAGAAGAGGAGGAGGAGGAAGAAGAAGGGAGATAAACGACATCAGGAATGGCACAACCCAGTAATGTGGAGACGCTGGCTTTCAAGTCACCTGACCTGGTTCTTATCCTTGCCCAAGGATAACACTTGTTAAATGTCTCCCTTTGCCCTTTTCTAAATACTAATAAAGTTTGTGGATTCAAAAGTCTTCCATAGCCTAGGCAGCTCATGTCAAGAGCCTCGGGTGGTCACTGACATTATACATAAGAGTGTTAATTGTTAAATTGTTAAATTAACAACAGGAGTCACTGTGCACTAACTCCCCATGCAGGACCTCTGCCCTCAATGAGTTGTATGATGAGACTTAACTGTAAAACTAGTTCTCAGTTTGTGTGTGTGTGTGTGTGTGTGTGCAAATTGTTGAACTCTTAACTTAGTATTGACTTGATCTTCTGTGTACAAAGTTAATTGAAAATGAATCTTGGGCTGGCACCATGGCTCACTAGATTAATCCTCCGCCTGCAGCGTCCGCATACCATATGGGTGCCAGGTTCTAGTCCCAGTTGCTCCTCTTCCAGTCCAGCTCTCTGCTGTGGCCCAGGAGGGCAGTGGAGGATGGCCCAAGTGCTTGGGGCCCTGCACCCCATGGGAGACCAGGAGAAGCAGCTGGCTCCTGGCTTCGGATTGGCTCAGCACGGCTGTAGTGGCCATTTGGGGAGTGAATCAGTGGAAGACCTTTCTCTCTGTCTCTGTCTCTCTCTCACTGTCTATAACTCTACCTGTAAAATAAATTTTAAAAAAATTTAAAAAAAAAGAAAATGAATCTTAATGGAGAATGGAACTGGGAAGGGGAGAGGCAGTAAGAAGGGTGGGAATGTGGGTGGGAGAGGGGGTATGGTGGGAAGAACAACTGAAATTTGTGTTCCTTAAAAATAAATTAATTAAAAATGTCTCCTTATGAAATACTGGATAATAACTAAGTTTCTTCATTGCTTTAGAGAATAGGGATGCTTGACAAACTAAAATTAACTTGAAATCAGAGGATTCAGAGACAAATCTAAACTTTGCAAAATTTAAAAAGTACTTCCTTTTGAGGAAGTTATTGCTTTCAACAAAGAGTCATAAGAGGCTTAGGAGCTCTTGGGAGATAAAATCAGTGTTTATAAAGTATTTGAATACTGACAGTATAAACAAATGAGAAATGTAACCATTAAATTTATAATAAATGTAAGGGAAATAAATATTATGAAAAAGGCTTGAAAAATGTGATTTCTTCTTGGATAAATTACAAATATTTGAAAAATCATCTAACACATTTTGCAGAAGCTACAACAATGATGATGGTCTTCCTTACCTTTAATTATCAAGATGTGCTAGATGTGCTAATTGGTCATCCCATAATGAAATAGTCAAGACTTTGCACAGGTCCTATATGGAACAAAAATATTTTTAGGGCCGGTGCTGTGGAGCAGTAGGTTAAGCCTTCACCTGCGGCACTGGCATCTCTTATGGGTGCGGGTTTGTGGGAGAACCAAAAGAAGCTCCAGCTTTCTGGCTTTGGCCTGTCCGACCCCTTGCTGTTGTGGCCACTTGGAGAGTAATCCAGCAGATGGAAGAACTCTTTCGCTCTGCCTTTCTCTCCCTCTCTCTGTATCTCTGCCTTTCAAATAAAAAATAAAATAAAATCCTAGGGCTGGCGCCAAGGTAGACTAAGCCTCCACCTGCCAGTTTGTGTTCCAACTGCTCCTATCCCAATCCAGCTCTCTGCTTATGGCCCAGGAAAGCAGTGGAAGATGGCCCAGGTGCTTGAGCCCCTGCACCCATGTGGGACATCCCAAGAAAGCTCCTGGCTTCAGATCAACGCAGTTCTGGCCGTTGTGGCCATTTGGGGAGTGAACAGCAGACGGAAGACCTTTTTATCTGTCTCATCCTTCCTCTCCCTCTATAACTCTGCTTCTCAAATAAATAAACCTTTTAAAAATATTTTTGAAAACTTCTATTTGTTCATTTGTGTTTATTTGAAGAGAGAGAACAAAAGAAAGAGACAGAAAGATCTAGCATTTACTGGTTCTCTCCCCAGATAGGTGCATACATGGGGCTGGGCCAGTCTGAAGCCAGATGCTGGGAACTCAATTAAGGTCTTTCCCAAGGGCGGCTGAGACTCAACTACTTGAGCTATCACCTGCTGGCTTCCAAGGATGCACACTAGCAAGAAGTTGGAATTGGAAGTGGAGATAGGACTCAAAGCCAGGTACTCCAATATGGCTTGTAGACATTCCCAAAAATGTCTTAACCACTGGGCCTGCCCTCCCAATGGAAACATTTTAATTTAAAGCCTATACCATCACAAAGTTTGCCAATTTGTAAACTCAATTATTTCCTAATACAGAATAAATAAGGATATACCATTTTAAAATATCAAAATCATCATACATTTGAGTTTTCCTCTCAAAATCTTTTACAATAAAATCCACAGTTTCTTTTTTTTTTTTTTAATTTATTTGACAGGTAGAGTTAGACAGTGAGAGAGAGAGACAGAAAGGTCTTCCTTCCGTTGGTTCACTCCCCAAATGATCACCGCGACCGGTGCTGCGCCAATCCGTAGCCAGGAGCCAGGTGCTTCCTCCTGGTCTCCCATGTGGGTGCAGGGGCCCAAGCACTTGGGCCATCCTCCACTGCCTTCTGGGGCACAGCAGAGAGCTAAAATCCACAGTTTCTCATTTGAAAATAAATATTTACTGTGGGGAGCAACTGAGACTAGACTAAATTACTGGAATTAAGACTTATTCTATGTATCTGCTCTCCCACAATATGGCGCTGGGGAGGAGTAAACTTCTACGCAGCTGCCTCTCGCCAATTTGACTGATAAGCTGCAGGAGCTGATCCTGCTCCTGATTGGAGGAGAGCAGCGTGCTGGGCGTGTGGGCAGCAGAGTTGGGATTGGTGGAAGAGGACTATAAAGGAGGAGAGAGACAACATGCACCAGGAACATCCGGATAACATCTGAGCAGCCCCCGAGAGAGCCGGCCGGCGGTGTGCCGGCAGAGTGGACAGTGAGAGAAAGAGACAGAGAGAAAGGTCTTCCTTTGCCGTTGGTTCACCCTCCAATGGCCGCCGCGGCCAGCGTGCTGCGGCCGGCGCACCGCGCTGATCCGATGGCAGGAGCCAGGAGCCAGGTGCTTTTCCTGGTCTCCCATGGGGTGCAGGGCCCAAGCACTTGGGCCATCCTCCACTGCACTCCCTGGCCACAGCAGAGAGCTGGCCTGGAAGAGGGGCAACCGGGACAGAATCCGGCACCCCGACCGGGACTAGAACCCGGTGTGCCGGCGCCGCTAGGCGGAGGATTAGCCTAGTGAGCCGCAGCGCCGGCCAAGATTTTACTTTCATAATGAAAATATCTGATTTTTGAGGGCTCTAGCAGAAAACCCAAATTTGGTAATTTTTTTGTTTCTACACAGCCCCTCTGTAATCAAGTTAAATGTCAGCTTGATTGTACCCAAGTTGACAAATACTGTAAAGTTGTTATTAATACAGACCCCATGAATTTAACACTGAAGAAAATATGTACAGATGTTAGCATAAACATAATAGCAAAATGACAATAATATATATGATGTCCTGTATATCCTCTATGTACAAGGCACTTTGTATACATTAACTTCCTTAATCTAACCATTCTATAAAATAGCTATTATACTCTAATTAACTTCTTTAATCTAACCATTCTATAAAATAGCTATTATACTCTAATATAATATAATAATATTATATTTATAATTTTTTTTAGACAGTGAGAGAGAGACAGAGAGAAAGGTCTTCCTTCTGTTGGCTCACCCCCAAATGGCTGCCACAGCCGGAACTGCGCTGATCCGAAGCCAGGAGCCAGATGCTTCCTCCTGGTCTCCCATGCGGGTGCAGGGGCCCAAGCACTTGGGCCTTCCGCCACTGCCTTCCTGGGCCACAGCAGAGAGCCGGACTGGAAGAGGAGCAACTGGGACTAGAACCCGGCGCCCATATGCGATGCTGGCGCCACAGGCAGAGGATTAATAAATTATATTAGAATTATATAACTTTTAAATATATCATTATAGATTATATATAATAATATATTAGAGGGACATGAACCAGCACTCTGATATGAGATGCTGGTGTCCCAAGCAGTGGCATAACCCACTGCGCCACAAAGCACACCCATCTTCTAATCTTAACTCTTTTATTTTGCTAATCTATGTTTATCATTTCTTTTAAAATCTAATTCAACAGTTACATAATTCCAAAATATCCCTTAACTGTGATCATTTCCTCATTTTTTTGCATTGTTTCTCAGTATTTTGCACTGTTTAAAGAAAAATCTGTTATTTTTGATATTCAGTGTGTATACCTGGCTTCTATTGAAGTCAGTTCTAGAGTAAAACAATAAATGGCAATGCTGCTGAGCATCCAAATGAGGTTGGTGATCATCATTTTAAGATTTCCAATGCACACAGTCACGTGAGTTTTTTCTGATTTCAGTATGGAAGATTATTAATAAACATATGGAATGCATTAAAGGACTATCATTTGATAATGATAAAGTACCAGACTGGTGATGAGTCAGAGTGAGCCGCATAGATTGGTGATGCTTCTATATTAAGATGGTGACATGAAGCAAGAGTGACCTTTAGAGGGAAAGAGGCAGCAAGGTTAAGATGTTCTGTGATAGGGTCAGGGAGAAACTGCTCTGCAAAGTAGAAGAAATGGAATGAAGAAATTACCCTGAGTGAACAGAGGTGCACAGTACCGACATGAGAAATAAAGGAGGGAGGGTCAACTCTTGAAGGTGATGCTAAAGGAAGGATTTTAAAGTTTTCTCACTAGGATAGCATGGTTCAGCATGCACTGAAACAGGCCCAGGGCCCATGTCTACTATTTGCTGATTAAAAGGCACGATTTCACTACTATTTCTATTATTTGTTGAGGAAAAGTACTACTTCACACTATTTGCTGAGTAAAAGATAAAAACAACCTCAACAACAGAAAAATAAATTATCAGGAGGCCAATGTAGTTTGGCAAATATGAGGCTACTTTGAAGAGTCTGGGGAAAGCTGAGTTAAAAGGAAAGTGTATTTTGGTGCAAAAACTTTTTTTTAAAGATTTATTGATTTATTTCAAAGTCAGAGTTACACAGAGAGAGGAGAGGCAGAGAGAGAGAGAGAGAGAGAGAGAGAGAGAAAGAGAGAGGTCTTCCATCCAATGGCTCACTCCCCAACTGGCCACAACAGCCGGAGCTGCACCGATCCGAAGCCAGGAGCCAGGAGCTTCTTCCGGGTCTCCCACACAGGTGCAGGGGCCCAAGCACTTGGGCCATCTTCCACTGCTTCCCCATGCCATAGCAGAGAGCTGGATCAGACGAGGAGCAGCTGGGACCAGAACTGGTGCCCATATGGGATACTGGTGCTTCAGGCCAGGGCATTAACCCGCTGTGCCATAGCACTGGCCCTGGTGCAAAAACTTTTGAAATCCATTTATAATTTTTTCATAATACAAACTTTCCAGGAACTTTTTGAAGATCTCAAGAATGTATGGATTTCAAAATTACACCAAGATAAACTTAACTTTTAATTCTACCTTTCCATGTATTTCCTGGAATATCCTCATACTTTAGTGATTCTTTGGAAGGGTAACACAAACTTTGGGGATTCAGGCATTCAGCCTAGTGGTTAAGATGCATGTGCCCCACTCTGGCCTCAGAATCAGCCCTTAAGGCATTCGGATATGGCTGAAGAGCCCATCAGAGTATTATAGGCATGGAAAGCCAAGATATTCTGGCAAAAAAAAAAAAAAAAAAAAACCCACACACACACAAACAAAAACAAAACAAAACAAAACAAAAAAAACAGACCTAAATGAAAGATCTCTGCGAGTGAGATCCCAGTGGAAAGAACAGGCCATCAAAGAAGGCGGTACCTTTCTCTGAAGGGAGGAGAGAACTTCCACTTTGATTATGACCTTGTATAAATAAGACTGGAGTTTGGCAAACTCAAAAGGCTTCCATAGCCTTGGCAACTCATGACAAGAGCCTAGGGTGATTCCTGACGCCATAAACAAGAGTGTCAATTTGTTAAGTCAACAACAGGAGTCACTGTGCACTTACTCCTCATGTAGGATCTCGTCCTACATGTGCTGTGCATTGTGATTTAATGCTATAACTAGTACTCAAACAGTATTTTACACTTTGTGTTTCTGTGTTGGTGCAAACTGTTGAAAGCTTTAATTAATATATGCTAAATTGATCTTCTGTATATAAAGATAATTGAAAATGAATCTTGATGTGAATGGAATGGGAGAGGGAGCGGGAGAGAGGAGGGTTGCGAGTGGGAGGGAAATTATAGGGGAAAAAGCCATTGTAATCCATAAGCTGTACTTTGGAAATTTATATTCATTAAATAAAAGTTATAAAAAAAGATGTATATGCCCCAACTCAGAGTGCCTGGGCTTGATTTCCAGCTCTACTCTTTTTTTAAAAAAACTTTTATTTAATGAATATAAATTTCCAAAGTACAGCTAATGGATTACAATGGCTTCCCCCGCCCCATAACTTCCCTCCCATTCGCAACCCTCCCCTTTCTCGCTCCTTCTCCCCTTCCATTCACATCAAGATTCATTTTCATTTCTCTTATATACAGAAGATCAGTTTAGTATATATTCAGTAAAGATTTCAACAATTTGTACCCACATAGAAACACAAAGTGAAAAATACTGTTTCAGTACTAGTTATAGCATTAAATCACAATGTACAGCACATTAAGGACAGAGATCCTACATGAGGAGTAAGTGCACAGTGATTCCTGCTGTTGACTTAACAATTTGACACTCTTGTTTATGGCATCAGTTTTCGCTCCCCCTCTTTGTGGAGGAACGACACTAAACCCTGAGCTGTTCTTTCATCTGCTCGGCCCTTCCCGGGTTTGCTGCTGGTCCTTCCCGGGTTGGCTGGCAACCCCTCCACCTCTGTGGAGGGGTGGTTCCCCCCGCCACTTTCCCCACTTCTGCGGAGGAGAGGCACACCACCGGCCGGCTCTCTCGGGGGCTGCTCAGATGTTATCCGGATGTTCCTGGTGCATGTTGTCTCTCTCCTCCTTTATAGTCCTCTTCCACCAATCCCAACTCTGCTACCCACACGCCGAGCATGCTGCTCTTCTCCAATCAGGAGCAGGATCAGCTCCTGCAGGTTATTGGTCTAACTGGAGGCAGCTGCACAGAAGTTGTTTACTCCTCTCCCAGCGCCATATTGTGGGAGAGCAGATGCATAGAATAAGTCTTAATTCCAGTAACTTAGTCTAGTCCGAGTTGCTCCCCACAATCAGTAATCTCCCTAGGCTCCAGTTATGAGTTGCCAAGGCTATGGAAGCCTTTTGAGTTCACTGACTCTTATTACATTTAGACAAGGTCGTAGTCAAAGTGGAAGTTCTCTCCTCCCTTCAGAGAAAGGCACCTCCTTCTTTGATGACCCGTTCTTTCCACTGGGATCTCACTCGTGGAGATCTTTCATTTAGGTCATTTTTTTTTTTTTTTTCCAGAGTGTCTTGGCTTTCCATGCCTGAAATACTCTCATGGGCTTTTCAGCCAGATCCGAATGCCCTAAGGGCTGATTCTGAGGCCAGAGTCCAGCTCTACTCTTTATTCTAGTTTCCTGAGCAGGTGCTGCTCAAGTGGTGGGGTTCCTGCCACTCTTGTGGCAGACCTGGATATGATCCCAGTTTTTGGCCTTTGCCTCAGCCCTGCCCTAACCTTTCTGGACATTTGGGGGGGTGAGCCAAAAGATGGGAAATCTCTCACTCTGCTTCTTTATTGCCTCTCAAATAAACAAAAACAAAACATTTTCTTAACTAAAAATATTTTGGAGGTAAAAGAAGACAGCTAAGAGGCATATGTGGGTCAAAATAGAGCTCTATATGGTGTATACACTCTTTTATTTATTTATTTTTTTGACAGGCAGAGTGGACAGTGAGAGAGAGAAACAGAGAGAAAGGTCTTCCTTTGCCGTTGGTTCACCCTCCAATGGCCGCCGCGCTGCGGCTGGCGCACCATGCTAATCCGATGGCAGGAGCCAGGTACTTATCCTGGTCTCCCATGGGGTGCAGGGCCCAAGCACTTGGGCCATCCTCCGCTGCACTCCCTGGCCACAGCAGAGAGCTGGCCTGGAAAAGGGGCAACCGGGACAGAATCCGGCGCCCCGACCGGGACTAGAACCCAGTGTGTCGGCGCCGCAGGCAGAGGATTAGCCTAGTGAGCCGCGGCGCCGGCCCGGTGTATACACTCTTGAACTTACTACTAATTACCTGTCATCGGGGAGATAAGAGCAATTTGATAGACAAAAGAATAAAGCCAGCGCTGCAGCTCACTAGGCTAATCTTCCGCCTTGCGGCGCCAGCACCCTGGGTTCTAGTCCTGATTGGGATGCCAGATTCTGTCCCGGTTGCCCCTCTTCCAGTCCAGCTCTCTGCTGTGGCCCAGGAAGGCAGTGGAGGATGGCCCAAGTGCTTGGGCCTTGCACCTGCATGAGAGACCAGGAGAAGCTCCTGGCTTCGGATCAGCGCAGGGCGCTGGCCGCAGCAGCCATTTGGGGGTGAACCAACGGAAAAGGAAGACCTTTATCTCTGCCTCTCTCTCTCACTGTCCATTCTGTCAAAAAAAAGAAAAAAGAATAAAGCCTTTTATTCTAATCCAAGATAAAAAAAAAAAATTGGAGCCTGTGGGGGTAGTGTTGTAGCACAGAGAGTTAAGACAATACTTGTGACGCAATGCATCCCGTATCAGAGTGCCGGTTGGAGTCACAGTTTCTTCCCCACTTTGGGTCCAGCTTCCCACTAATGTGTGTGGGAAGTTAGTGGAAGACAGCCTAAGTAAGTAGACCCTGCCGTCCACATCGGAGGCCCAAAGTACCTGGCCCCTGCCTTCTGCCTGACCCACACCTGGCTATGGCAATCATTTGGAGAGTAAGCCAGAGTATAGATCTGTCTGTCCATCTCTGTTTCTCTGC